TGATCCTCAGCACCACATAAAAATAAATAAATAATAACAAAGGTATTGTGTCCAACTACAACTAAAAAAACCCAAATATTAAAAAAAAATAACGCAAGCCAACCCTAACTATATTTATTTTTTATTTACTCATTTATTCATTTACAGATAGAGTTAGAACTAGTAGTCTGAGAAATGATTAGGACAGAGGTCACAAACCTCAGATGTTTACTCAAACACTAAGTTAAATGGTCAGAGTACAAACTCAATGGCAATCAATACTGGCAGTAGAAGAGCATGTGTCTCAGCCAGAACTACCCAGCTCCATCTGCTTTCATTGCATTTTCCCAGGAAAGCCAAAAATTTGGAAATTTTATGTGAATTATCTTGGATTTGTTAAATAAATAAATAAATAATAGATTTCAACCTTTTTATTAATGTCTTTTTTTTTTTGGTACCAGGGATAGAACCCAGATGCTCTTTACCACTGAACTATATACCCAGGCCGGCTTGCTTATTTATTTATTTATTTATTTATTTATTTATTTATTTAAGAGAGAGAGAGAGAGAGAGAGAGAGAGAGAGAGAGAGAGAGAGAGAGAGAATTTTTAAAATATTTATTCTTTAGTTTTCGGCAGACACAACATCTTTTATTTGTATGTGGTGCTGAGGATCGAACCCAGCGCCGTGCGCATGCCAGGTGAGCAGCTACCACTTGAGCCACATCCCCAGCCCTATTTATTTATTTTTTAAGACAGGGTCTCACTAAGTTGCTTAGGGCCTCACTAAGTTGCTAAGGCTGCCTTTATACTTAGGATCCTCCTGCCTCAGCCTCCCAAGTCACTGGGATGACAGGTGTATGCCATCATGCTCCGCTCCCCTTATATTTAAAATACATCTGTAGACACAGTCAGCTTGGGACATGTGGTGAGGTATAGGTACTTCATTGAGGCACCCGGGAAGGTTTCACATGCTATTGGGGATTTCTGTTTGTGTGACAGCAGAGATAATACAATTAGATGAACTCAGATCTAATCTCAATATAAGGATAATTGGATCTTCTCAATGATGAAATGGGGTGCCCTAATACTAGTATTCGCTGTAAACATAATTTGATGTTCTCAAGTTCATAATTGGAAAAATTATCTGGAACCAAATATTTAATTTAATGTCATTATTTCTCAAAGTGTTCTGTATAGCTTGGCTTTCCTCTTGTATTACTTCCTGGACCACTCCTCAAAGCCTTGCTATTGTACAGGGTCTCTCAATGTGCCAAGTGTACAAGTGGTGGTGCACAGATGATTTCTGGTGACCCTCAGATAAGTATCCTTAGAAGATACATATTTATTTATGCACATTAGGAAGATTATAACTAACAGGCGATACCTGGTATTTCATAGGTATTATTTCTTAGAAAAAGGCTAAGTGAAAAAAAATAGTGTGTCAATTTAAATAATATTAAGAAAATAAAATACAGTTCATATTTAGACATGGTAAAAATTGTGAAGTATACTAATAAAATCCAGGTTCTGGAAATCCTGCCTTCTCACATGTAGAAGGATGCTTCTTTGGTCAGAAGTGTGTATACAGGGGCCTTTTTTTCCCCTTTGTCAGCACCTGGAAGGACCTCAGTCTATGGGACCACTGAAGATTTAACTTCCTATCTCTCATTTGAGAATACATTTAGGTTTGGGGGGCTTCTGCCATTGAAGGCTAATATTCAAAGAAGAAGCACCCTAATGTTGGTGAGAATAGCTCTGAAAATCCACGGAAGATGTTTCAGATATTTTAATTAATTAATTTATGTTTCTTATTTCTCTGAAAAAAGAATTCTTTATGAACACTAGTTTCTTTCTATAGAAAGCCAATCCCTTCCTATCATTTCTGCTGGGTGACAGCTATGGGTTCAGTCACCTGAAACACAGGTAACATCTTATTAAGAAGAAAGAACAACTGCAGACCTAAGATTTCAGTATTTTCATACAGGGTAGCAGGCGGGGTAGAGGGAGAAAGGGAGAGAGAGGAAAAGGATAGAGCAACCTATTTTGTTTTGTTTTAGCATAACTATTTAAAGGAGATACTTTCTCTTTTTCTCCCCAAATTTTAAGTAATCAAACTGAAACCAACATTTATTGCTAAGATGCTATTTAGTATCCTCAGGCTATACTGATAGCCTAGCATAAGAAGCATTATGGTGTGGATGTAAGGTGTCTGCCAAAAGCTCATGTGTGAGACAACTGAAAAAGTCTTAGAGGTTACATGATTGGGTTATGAGAGCCTTAACCCAATCAGCGAATTGATCCCCTAATGGGATTAACTGAGTGCTAACTGAAGGCAGGTCGGGTGTAGCTAGAAGAGGTGGGTTATTGGGGGCATGCTTTTGATCTTTTGTATCTGAAGAGTGGAGTCTTTCTCTCTCTCTCTGCTTCCTGGTGCCAAGTTCTCAGTTGCTTTTCTCCACCACACTTTTCTGCCATGATGTTCTGCCTCATCTCTAGCCCTGAGGAATGGAGCCAGCCTTCTACGGACAGAGACCTCTGAAATTGTGAGGACCCCAAAACCCTTTTACTCCTCTAAAATTGTTTTGTCAGGTCTTTTGGCCACACTAGAAAAAAAACAAAATCAAACAAACAAACAAAAACACCTGACTAAAACAAGAAATAATGCCTTAAAAGTATGCATGATCTTTTAAAATATCAATAAAGAAGCATGCAGGTATGAGTTTATATCAAAAATATTTTAAGTATGTATAAAATACTCAAAGAGCATATATAGTAAAACAAGTTATTTTGTGTACCGATTTAGAAAAATAGTCTATGTTGGAATTTGATGTTCTATAAAATGACGTTAAGGCAAGTTTTCATTTTGAAATAATTATAGACCCATAGGAAGTAACAAAGATAGTATAGAGTGGTCCCATGTACCTTTGACCCAGTATCTCCCAGTGGTTGTCTCTTACATAACTATGGTATAATATCAAAACCAGGAGATTGGCCTTGGTGCAATGTGTTTATACCTCTGACATCTCATCACATGTAGATTTGTAGAACTACCACCACAATGAAGACACACAGTCATGCCATTACACAAAGATCTCTGCCATGCCACTTTCATTTTCCTCTCACCCCTTCTGTAAGCTCTGCCAACCACTAGTTTGTACGAGCTAGTAAAACTGCTAGCTTGAGTAGCTCTTCTGCTATGATTTGGATCTGAAATGTGCCTCAAATCTCATGTGTTGAAGGCTTTTTCTTCAAGGCAGCAGTTTTCAGAGATAAACCTTTGGAAGGTGATTGGGTTGTGAGGGCTCTAAACCCATCAATGGATTAAATCATATTTTTATAGACCAGTAGGAAGTAGTGGAAATTTAGGACTTGGAGCTTAGTTGGAAAGAATGGGTTCTTGGGGAGCAGACCCTTGCAGGCTATGTCTTGTCCCTAGCATCTCCTTCTCAAGCTTTCTGTTTCTTGGAAACCATGAGGTGAGAAGCTTTGCTCTACCATGCACTTTCTGTTGCATCTGGGCCTTACTACCACAAGTCCAGAAACAAAGGAGTCAATTGATTATGGACTAAAACCTTTGAAACACTGAGCCAGAATAAACATTTCCTCTTTTAAGTTGTTTTTCTTAGATATTTTGTCATAGCAACAGAGCTGATAATACATCATCCATGAAAATGAAGTTTTGATCAATTTTTTTAGGGGGCCATTATTTAAAACCAATCTTTTTTTTTTTTTTTTTTTTAGTTTCTGTGACAGCAGAGATACTACAATTAGATGAACTCAGATCTAATCTGAGTATTACCTTAAAAACTGTTAAGTGCAAATCTAGTTAATGAAGTCTAATGTAAAAATGTGGAGAGCATAATGGATTGAACAGTGTGTTGTACATGTATTTGTCATTAAAGTAGTGTCATTGTCAAATAAATTAAATAACCAAAGCCGCATTATAATAATATACTGCTGCTCCTAATTCCCATGCATGTAAGAAGAAAAAAAATGATTTTACTTGTTCTCTTCTTTCACCAAATGTACATATGGCAAAAATTTGGCACAGAAGACATCTAACTTCTTTTGTCCCCAAGGGTACCCCTTGAAGAAGAAGAAGCAAACATTCCAAAAATGTGCCTGGCTAAGTATCTGAGTTGGCAGTGTTGCAGCAAAGACTTTAGGTTTGAAGATTCTGAACTGTGGGGTTCAAATTCAGCACTTTTCTGAGAAGGAAGTTTCAGATTCTGAAGCTGCCCACTGGCCAGGGCCAGGATTAGAGAATCATGAGGAACTAGGCAGTGGACTCCTTTGCTTTCTCATACAAAACTACTTGCTCTGCACTGAGGAAGATAACATCAAAAAGCAGTTTTTCCCAAGAGATGTCTTCCATTTAAAGTTTTTAAGAATCCCGACCCACGCACCATTTTAAGCTCTTCCGCTCCACAATTCACTCCTCTTTTAAATTCAAACCTGTTGATAGTACCCAGCATGAGGATGTCTGACTTTGTCAAACTGAGTCCTTCAACAACATATTGATGAAAAAATGGTTCTCCTTTCTCACTTCCAATAATCTTTATGGAAACTCGCGTAGGAAGCAGAAATTTGAAAAAGGATCCTCTGGGGATTCTGGACAGTCTACAACTTTGGAAAGAACGACTGAGCCCTTTGGAGACCACCTACCTATTCCTTACTTTTCAAAAGACACCATTTTCAAACCCTGCTCCTGAGGAAAATAATGTAGGGAGATCAAAAATCTACCCCCAACGCCAAATTTGCTTGTCACAAAGCTCAATCATTGTAATAACCAAACAAGGACATTGTCCCCTCATCTTCTTCTGCTGGGAGTCCCTTGATGTCCCATTTCCATGACCTACTTCTGTCTTTCCTTGAGCACCCTGGATACAACCCTCAATTGAGGGGGTGGCTCTGGGGTCAGAGCTTCCCACCTCAACCCCCATTGGACCGAAGGCATCAGTTGCCCTCCTGTGCCCACAGGTGCTGACACCAGTGCCCACACAGACGCCCTGGTCTTACCCTTTCTTTCGCAGAAGGGATCCATCGCGCCGTCCAGAAGGCACCTCCGTGAGCCCGGGTGGTGGGGGTCCGGCTGGGCCGCGATCGGGCAGGACCCCGCGTCGCTGCAGGTTTGCGCTCAGGACCTGGGAGCCGGGCCCGGCCCGCTCCTCCCGCGCCAGCCGGGTGCGGACACGTGGTGCCACGGCAGCGGGTACGCATCAGTCCCCGCGGCCCCTCGGCTTCTGCAGCCAGCCCGGCGGCCGGGGCTGCGGGCCAAGTGGGTAGACGGGCGGGAGACCAAAGGGCCGGCACCGGTAGGTGGGGCGCAGCGACGCGGGCGCGAGGAGGGCCGAGCGCCACCGGAGCCGCCAGGGTCCTGATTGCGGGCTCTCGAGCTGAAGGCCTGGTGGCTGTCACCAGGTCCTCAGCAGATTTCCCTGCAGGCTGTTTCCTGAAGCCGTTCGGGGAGGGAGGGGGTGGCGCGCTGCCGAAGCGCTGGGTTCCCGGCAGCGGAGGGGGGCCCAGCAGAGGCAAAGGGTCTGCGTTGCACCCGCACGCAGCTGCGGGCCTGGGGAGGTCGCGCTCGCGGTCGTCACCTTACCGAAGGAGTGCCTCGTCTTCTCGCTGGAGATGAAAAAGCACTGAAAACCGCAGCGTGAACCCCAAGTGCCCTTTAGGGCAGTCTCTGCTTGGGAAAATTCCTCTCGCGATCACAGCTGGTCTGGGGGCAGCGAAGGAGACACGACCCAAAACTGGGGCCCTAGATTTGTGTGCTGCTACTGGCTCTATTCCAATTCCACCAAGGACCTTGGGCACCGCGTTGGCACAAGGTGTCTTGTCTGAGTTAACCTGATTTCTGACTTGGCGTTAAATAGGGCCATTTATTTTCTGGAAATAATAGCAATTGTGTTAAAAATCAAAACCTAAAACAAAAAGCCTCCAAGGACTTATTTAATAAAAAGTACAATATAGAGATATAATTTATATTGTCTTTAGGCAAGGTTAAAAAGACTTCCTCAGAATGGAGAAAAAAAAAAAAACTGGGTTCTGATTTGTTAGTCCCAATGCAAAAACTAAGCTTCAAATACACTATCTCCCTTATCGGGAAGGTAGGCTATTGAAAAGACCCTTGGGAAGATTTTGGCTTCCCTTAGAATTGCTAGAGTTCCATGTAGCCTCGTCAAGAATGCCCAACTCTACTAAAGGTCTTTGTGATGAAACTGGTTTCATCTTCCTACCATAGTTAAGAGTCAAGAGCAGCCACCACAGCTGGTAAAGGCTCTGCCAGGTGAGTTTCTTGTTACTTGCTTATTTGTGGATGAATCTTTATTTTTGCTTCTAGAAGGAGTTTTCTGTATAGAGGGCTGCTTCTCCATAGTTGCACCCCTGTCCTTTTATCATCGCTTCCCCTCCCCCTCTTCCCCTTCATGTCACATTCACTAGAGTTGGGCATACACAATCAGCTTAAAATACATTGTAATTCTAGTCATATGTGAGAGAACTTTACAGTGCAAGTCTGTTAAAAAAAAAATCTGGAACCCAGTCTCATGTGTCTACTCAACTGGGCACATGTTAAGTGCATCAAACAATTTATTATTGCTTTAGCTCAAGTTTCATCTGGTCATCCCTTATCCTACTTTTTTCTGATCATAAGGCTCAAACACTTAAGATTTCTTCTCTCTGGTAGGAAATCACCTCCCTCATTGAAAATACAGATTCATAACATAATGGAAACCTCATAACAAAAAATCTTATTTTGTGTGCCAAATCTTGACTTTACTGTCTTATGTGCCTCACCTTACTCCTGCCACTTCTACTCAAGGTCCAGCCATTGATTTTCCCTGTTTCTTGGCCTTTGAAGGATACAATTCCCCACTATGGTTTTTTGGTTAAAACTGTTGTTTGCCCAGGATTTCCTTTACCAGTGTGCCTTAGGTTATTTTAGGATTGTCTCCTGGGAATATGGTTCCTGCTCTTCTTTCTATATTTCAGGCTTCTAGGACTCTGTATCAGGTATTGTTTCCATTGGATCCTTACTGGCTCCTTAAAGATAATTCTGCAAGTAAAAACAAAAAATGTATGGAAATAAAGGTGCACTAGAAATGTGAAACTATTAGGTTAAAAATACCAGTCTCTGCCTTTGAAATAGTACAGTTTTCTTTATAACAGGTATTTCCACCTGTTTGGAAGGAAATATTATTAAATTTTTATTCTGAAACCTTAGGAGCACTGAGAGTGTCCTTGAAGATTTGGGGACAAAGTGGGAGGGGTGCAGAGTGAGGGTTGTAACTGGGGAAGAGGGAAGGTGGACAGGTGCTGATGTTGAGTTCCTGCTTCGCAAGGGTCAATCAGACTAGAAGATGGGAAGAAGAAAGGGAAAACTCCTGTTTGGAATGGTTTTCATCAGAGTAGGCCCAGCTCTGATTGTGCAGTGGACCAGAGGAGAGTCTTACCCACAGGAGCTTTGTTTCTCCCTCCTTTTTTTTTTCAAACTTACCCCCAGGGCCTCACTAAGGAGTAGCCTCAGGGAGTTAATTTTTTTTTTTTTTAAAGAGAGAGTGAGAGGAGAGGAGAGAGAGAGAGAATTTCCAACATTTTTTATTTTTTAGTTCTTGGCGGACACAACATCTTTGTTGGTATGTGGTGCTGAGGATCGAACCCGGGCCGCACGCATGCCAGACGAGCGCGCTACCGCTTGAGCCACATCCCCAGCCCCTGTTTCTCCCTCCTTATCAACATACTTTCTCTACAATGCGTCATCTCTAAGAGGACCTTCAGAAATTAAGAATATAATAAATATCAGTGGGCAAATACCTAAGCACAATCCACTGGACTTAGACTTTTCTGGACATACTGCAAGAATACAGTTTGATTGTTTGATTAAATACAATAGTGTTTGATAAATGTATTAAGAAAGAAAGGTTATCTAGGGCTAGGGTTGTGGCTCAGAGATACAGCACTCGCCTGGCACCCCCAAGGCCCTGGGTTCGATCCTCAGTACCACATAAAATCAATAAATAAAATAAAAGTATTGTGTCCAACTACAAGTAAAAAATGAAAATTAAAAAAAGAAATCATTACACAGAAGGTGATTTATCTTGGAGAATGAGTAAGAGCTACAAAAATGGAGGATGGAGGTGATTCCTGGTGGGGAGATGCTGAATGGGAGGGGGGGAGAGAGAGAGAGAGAGAATACAGTGTGATTGTAGAATTCATTTTAGAAAGAAGGTGTAAATCAGGTGGCTTATATAACCTTTGAGATGAAGGACAGTAACAGGTTACCTAATATGGCCTTTTAGATATTATACCAGCCATAATCCCACAGTTCTTAGGTTCTTTTTTTCTCCTTTTAAGTTTCCAACCCCTTCCCAAAATGCTGTTTCTAAGCCAGGACTCATTTTTTGTTGGCCACCACCAACATAACATAACATAACAACAACAAAAAATTTCCCTGCTACTTGTTTCTTTCTGGATTCTAGATTTGAATTAGATTGGAGAAAAATTCATCTTGAGTTCTCTAAGGCTGAGAAGAATGTTAAATAAACACCTCACAAGTTGGAGAGTTCAAATGATTCCAGAGCTTCATATTAGAAACGCCAACTTAGAGGAAAACAAACTCAGTTCAAATGATTGCAGATAAATTCTTGCCTTTCTTTCCTGGGACTAAAGTGTAATTTTCTTGTTCTAAGAATTTTAGACATTTAGTTCTTCATTGTTTTATCAAAATATGTAGAGCTAGAGCTGTATCTGCCTATAAGTTTCTCATTCAACATCATTTATTCAGTACCATTTTCCAAACCTATTTTGTCTTTCCCTTCCCTCTCTTTCCTGATGACCTGTTTGCTAAAGTGTGATTAGATTGATATGTTACTTCTTCGAGATAACAGGATGGGAAGGAGCTCCCATTGTCGAATGTGTACTATACACCACTACTTCACATTGTCTAATTTTTAAATTATTACATTGTCTTAAGTAGTTATTCCTATGTACTTTACTGATGAAGAAAAGGAGCATGTGACTTGTTTACAGTCACAAAGTCAGTAAATTGTGCAGTGGAAATTTGAAGCTAAATACTTATAATTATTTTGTACTACTATTCACTGTGGAAGCTTTCTGGAAGCAATGCATTTATTATTATTACTCAAAGATCTACTCAAATGGAAGAATAGTGAATGCTATTGCAGGATGGAAAGAGAGTAGAATTTGTCATGTGGGTCTTTTGTGCATTCAATGCAAACATTCAGTAGCTTCCTTTTTTTCTTACAGAAAGAGCTGGACTAATCAAAATCATTGTGAAAACTTGGAAACTGTGTTAGAATGGTTAAACCACACATATGATGATTTTATTAACTGCAAAAGCATTTTGTAGAAAGGTCATTCATCAGGGGTCTACATCATAGCTATAAAAAATTAAAATACTAGCTAGCCATCAACTTTTGTTAATAACAGACTTTTTAAAAAAAAAGTGAAATGAGGTTCATGGTGAATTTATACATGTCATATATACCTACTCTGGGCTTATACAGCCCCATCTATAAAACAGTAATAATAAATATAATTCTCCAGGAGTTTGAAGTGAGTATCAGAGGAAACAATGGAAAACAAAATACTTTATAAATTGCAAATATGTGTGTGTTTTATTTGTATATATGTACACACACATATATATGTATTATGGTTTATGGTAGTAAAAAAGCTAAATAGTGAATTGAGTGGGGAAGAGATATTTTATAATTTAAGTCAGCACACACAGAGTCATGAAATTTTAACATAGATAAGAAATTTCTAAATCATTCAATTTCCCCCATTTTGTAAAGAAAAAAAAACAAATGCCTAGGGATAGGAATTTATCTGCAGTCACATCACATTCTTAAAAATACTGTTGAAAATTCTAAAATAATAAAGTGGTGTCATGGTAATAGTAGTCAGTCAATATTTATTGAGTGGCCATTATATGCCAGGCAGTTTTAGATGCTACGAATATAGTGATGAACTGATATCCTAATGAAGACAATGAGATAAAAGAAGTGTGAATAAACAAGGTCTTTTCAGCCACTAAGTGTTTTAAAGCTGTTAAAATAGGAAATGTGGTAATGAGCTGCCAAGCTTAGCTTTTCAGGTATTACTCTGAAGGCAACACTCAAATCAAGTTCTCAGTATCTGGAGGTGATTTCAATGGAAAGATGTGAAAATACTTTAGACATGTTTAGATACAGAGCTGACAGGATTTACTGGTGTTTTAAATGAACACTATTAGGAGAATCAAGGGTGATGCCTTTTTTTTTTTTTTGTCTCAACAACTAAGTGAATGGGGTACATGTTTTTTAGATGGGTAGGATTGTGGTAGGTGGTGATAATTGGAATGGGGCTTGGAGAAAGGATTGGTTCTGTTTGGGTCACATGAAATTTCAAATAATAGTTGAGCATGCAAATGGAGTTGTTGAGTAGAAATCTGGAACTCAGGACAAGTAGATGTCCAAACTAGAAATAAACATTTGAGAATTACATTTGAATTTGTAATTCTCTTATTGGTCATTGATACTTTTACCTGCTTATTTTAACAGCTGTATGTTATTACATCATATGACCATACCACGGTGTATTCTGTCAGAATGTAGATACTCATAGACAGGGCCACAATTTCATGCAAAGGAATAGATTAAATGCAGATTAATATCTGACAATTTAAAATCAGTATTCTAGGGCTATCAAAGTAATTGTTAAGGGAAAAAATCAGCACAGTAGCAAGTTTCTAAGAGATGGGTATAAAAAGATTAGAGGAACCCCCCAGTTTGTTGATGGTGCATGTATCAGTGTAGGGTTGTGGTCAGGGTACTACATTGCATGTCAGCTACAGTTATAAATGTTGTTTGAAGGTATTGGTAGTATTAAAATACCAGTGTGGTTTTCACAGCATGCTTATAAATACATACTGTTAGAATTTGGATATGAGGTGTCCCCCCCAAAAGTTCATAACTTAATGCAAGGATATTTAGAAGTGAAATGATTACGCTAGGATAGCTGTAACTTAATCAGTCCGTCCTGGTTTTAATGGGCGAACTGGTGGTAGCGTAGGCAGGTGGAGATGCATGGAGGAGGTGGGTCATGGGGAATACCAGGGAAAAGATTATCTTCGCCTCAGCATCTTCACCTCTCTCTCTCTCTGCTTCTTGGCTGTCACAAGCTGAGCAGATTTCTTCTGCCATGTTCTTTTGCTCCTCACCTCAGGCCCAGAGCAATGGAGTTAGCTGACCTTGTACTGTACCTCTGTAACTGTGAGCCAATAAACTTTTCCTTTTTCAAGTTGTTATTGTCAGGTATTTAGTTGTTATTGTCGTTACAGCGGTGAGGCAAGTAGTTGTGATAGAGCTTATATGCTTACAGATCCTAAAATCCATCTGAACACATGTACGTATATGTAAATATACATAGATGATATAGAAATAAATAGATTAATGGCAGCTCTGGAAAGGGGAATAGCTCTGACTTCTGTAACTTGTTGTAACTAATGTTAAACAAAGAGGGAGTCCTAGCTACTGGGCTCCAAACTCTGTCTGGTGATTTGATTTTTATTGTAAACATTCTGTTGTAGAACTGCATCACTAAACTTCTGCATTTTATGGAATTAAGGTTTTCAGTTTATAAACTGGCACTGAACATTAGAGACCAGCAAACCAGATACCAGTAAGCTGGGTTTCTACATTTTATTCAACCATTGTAACTCTTTGAAGGGGTTAATAGTATATGTTGTTTACATTTATGTGTACAATAGTTAAAAGCTAGAAAAACCTGGATGCTCTTATGTGGGTGAGGGATTAAACAAGCTGGTTGATCCATGTAATGGAATAGTAGTCAGCAACAAGATGCAATGGAAAATTGGTGCATATGACCACTCTGATGAAACTTATTCTCAGTGGGGGAAAAAGCCAACATCCAAAGGCTATATACTGTATGATTTTACCAACATAGAACTGTTGAAATGACAAAGTAATTATAGACATGGAGAAAAGATTAGTAGTCCAGAGTTCGAGAAAGAGTGGAAAGGGAAGTTACTATGGCTGTGAAAGGATGACATGAGGGATCCTTGTAAGGGGAATATTTTGTATCTTGACTGTATCCTGTTGATTTCCTGGTTGTGTTTTGCTGTAGTTTTACAAGATGTTACCACTGAGGGAAACTGGGTATCTGGATTTACAGGTGATCATGTTGTCAAGGGAATAAAATTTAAGTTGCTCACCTCCTAACTCTATGTTCATTAACACCCAAAGATAGCAATGCATTCAGTGCATTCATAGTGAGGTTCATGGACAAATGCAATTGGTTTTAGAGATATTTGGGAGTTTGCTGAAAATTTGGATTTCTGGAGTCTACTGTTAACCAAATACATAAAACTTTCAAATTAAATACACTTCTCAGGTGATTTAAATGGACACCAAATTACTAGAACGACTGAGAAGTAGGGGAATTAATTTAGGAAATTAAGAGAGAGCAAGCATTAGACATTTTTTTTTCTTATTTGTAGTTGTATCATCTAGTACAGAGCCTGATCCGTGCAAAGTAATGTTTATTATACATTTGTTACATTGAATATTTGTTTAATCCTTCTAATGCCATTGTAAGTTCTTGCTTTGCATTATAACATTATTTTTCTCCAAAACATCTTGTAACAATACTCAAAGCATCCTCATAATCATTGATAACTCCTAATCATTTTTACCTCAGAGCAGTGGGTTTCCTCCACTTCCTGGGAAGCTGTCTTCTATCCCTGAAGGTATCTTCATTTGGGATTTGGCTCTCTGCTTTTTATCTTTGTCCCAAATTCCACATGATCATGTTTGAATTTATATGCCCCAAGGATTTTGTTGAGCTCTGCTTACTTTAGATTTGTAATCTATAAAGCTAAGTAAGTTGCAGAGATCCAGTGGGTGGTAAAACTCATGAGGTTACTTTGAAAGTGATGAGATGCCTTGCAAATCTAAATTTCTGTTATTTCTTTCCTCTCCATTAAGGTCATCTCCACCAAGAAATTTTCCACCTGCCTCAATTCTTGGGAGCATCAATCACTGTTCATTTGCTTGTGGTAAGCTTGCAGCAAGAGTATACCTTCAAAAAATATCTTTCAATGTGTGAGATTCCTAAGGGACAGGATGGCAAATAAGTTGACTCAGCCTCCATTTCAACTTTGGTGTCCAAGGCCAACATCACAAAAGAATCACAGTCCAAGTTCTTGTGTGCTCAAAGGTGCCCTCACCAGCTTTCTCAACATAGTGCCACAGGCAGACCCTTGATTGAATGGCATTGACCTTTCAACCGAACCTATTTGCCATCTCTGATTAAAATAAATCTATATAAATATGCATGCATTAGATTTGGGTTTGGTGCATATTTCTCAAAGATATATGTGTGAAGGATATATGGGTTCTGTATGTTTAATAGATGCATGTATTATGTGAGATGATATTGGGTATAAAATATGCTTGCTTGTGTGTGTGTGTGTGTGTGTGTGTGTGTGTGTATGTGTAAGAGCATGGTAATGTGTAAAATAAAGAGGAAATCAAGGAGGTATTAAGTACTTATTTTTAGATAAGGTGACAGCATTAAATATTCACAATAAAATCTTCTGAAGGATTCTGAAATAATATGAACATTATGAAAGTCTCCCAACTGTCAGCAAGTATTTAAGTCAGGCTTTTACCTCCAAATGCCAGAATCAGAGTTACTATTTGTTTTAAATGGGGAGACCAAGCTAGACCCTTATCTCTTTGGAATAGATTTAAAGTCTGAAATATTTGAATAACTTTTATCTTTATAATAATGATATTATAACTAAATGAAATCCTAATTTTGTTCTCTTGTGGTACAAATATCAGTAGACTTGAATAATTACTCAGATGTATACCTTAGAATCTTTCTCAAGTATTGCATATGATCAATAAATTTTCTCCTTTGGAAAAAAATTGGTCTGCTTATAGACCATTCTCCAATATGCTAGATAGTGCTAGATGCTAAATATACAAAATTCTGGTTTTTCCAAAGAATATATCAAGTGCTTCTCCTGTATGTTCCTGTAGCACTTTTAATGTCCACTATCAAAATATGTATCATATTTTACTATAATTCCTGGATGTCCCCACTGAAGTACAGACTTCTGTAGGATAGGATTGAGTCATTATTTGTGTCTCTATTGGTTAAAGTAGGGATTGGCAAACTTCTGTAAAAGGTGAGATAATAAACATTTTAGGATCCGCAAGCCATATAGGCTTTATCACAACTACTTGCCTCACCATTGTAGTGTGAAAGCAGCCACAAACAATGAGAAAATGAATGTGACTGTGTTCCAATAAAACTTTATTTACAAAAGCAGACAACAGGTTAAAATTTTCCTACTATGATTTTCCATTTGATAAGTGCTTAATAGATTTTTATTATTAATAGTAATATGTTAGTTTTGTTGAGTGAATAAATGAAAGCCTTATGGAATGTGGTATTTGCTTTTGTGGATCCTACATTCTAGTAGAAATTAAAACAGTTACACTTTAGTATGAAAATCGTGTGATGGACCATGGACGGCATATTCTGGGAACCCCAAGGACAGGTATCTTAATCAAAACAGGGAGAGTATTTGAAAAGGTTTCCTGGAAGAGGTAGATTCTAAGTCCTATTTTGAAAAAGAATTAGGAATTAATATGCTTACAATGGGAGGTAGAAAGGGTATTCTAGGCAGCAGGTAGGTCACTAAGTACAAAAGCAGAAAGGCAGGTACAGAACTTTATGACACATTTGCATATAGTTTGGTGTGAGACTTTTAACTATGGCATATAGTTTTGCCATTTATTTCCTTAATCTGTGTTCTAATATTCCTGTCTATTTTCTTTTGAGACCAATGCAATTATTATCATTTTTTCTCTTAATAGTCCCTGGTCTTTTAACTTAGTAGATAAACATGCACAAGTGTCTCCTGAATTTAAAATGACTATTTCTATTTCTGCCATCATCATCACGACCACCACCACTACTACCAAGACCACTACCACCTTCACCTTGACTAACACCACCACCCCATCATCAGCTGCACCACCAGCTCCACTGCCACTAGCTTCTCTATCACCAATTCTGCTACCTCCACCTCCTTTACACCTTCATCACCATCACCCTTACCACTCAAGGACCACAACCTTTGCATATCCATTACCATCCCCTCTGCAGCTTCCTCCAACACCTCCATTGTTGATCCATGAGACCTTCCTTTTGTTTTCAATTCCTCTAAAGCAGTCATGATATCTCCCTATTTTATAGGAAACTTCTTCAAAGAGTGATATGCCCTTGTTTTTGCTTAGCCAACTACAATCTGGTTGCTATTCTCATCACTTAATTGAAATTACTGGCAATAAAGTCACTACTTGCCATGATCACCACCTTGCTACATTCACTGGGCACTTTTCCTTTTAACTTTCTTGACATTTCTGTGTCTTTTGATTCTGTTTTCTACTTCCTCCTTAAAATATTCTCCTTCTTTGGGTTTTGTAGTACTAAAAACTTCTGGTTACCTCCTCATTTTCTATCCTCCCTTTTTTCAGTCTTCTCAAAGGGCCAACCACGATCTGGGTTTTCCTTAAGGGTTGGAGTTTTCCTTGGTTGTTTGCTGATCTCTCAATCTTTAGGACACTATGGTGTAACCTTTTATAATGAATTCCTATGTCTAGTGAGTGAGAGCAAAGCACTTCGCTGAGAATGGGTTAGAAGGCTTGGGTAAGAGGTGAAAGTTGGCAAAACTGCTGAGGGAAATGGGAAAGATTGCTGAATAACACCTGGTGGACATGGAGGCTGACTGAGGCCTCAGATTTGTCATATCTTGAAGCTACGCAGTTGTAGAATTTTTCCAGCATCCTAAGAGTATGGATAAAAATTGAATAGGTAGAGACATGACTAGAAAAGGAACAAAATCTGTAAACACTTTTTTTTTTTACACTCTTCCCCAGGACTCTTCCATAACTGACATTATACCATCAAATAGTTAGAAGGCATAGCAATTAAAAACTTCGCCCATAACTTTTTTATAGTTGGATTAATATCTCTTTCTAGTTTGATGTGGTAACTATTTATTTTGCTTATCTTTTGTTTTCATATATTTGTGAAGTTTAATTTTTGTATTTAAATTAAAATAGTATAAAGTTAGATTTGTCTAGAGCCCTTAATCTGATAGAGTTTCTTGAGGTGTTTTGTCAACAACAATGCCTGGAACAGGCAAAATAAAATTTATGTAACTCTTTGGAGCTGTGTCTACTCCCCTACTCTTCTTTATATTTCTAAGACTAAAGGTCAAAACCAGTTCATTTTAAACCAGATTGTCATTTCCATGGATGGACAAGTGCATGGCTGAATTCATATGTTATTTGGTATTCTAGTTCATCTTTCATTTTCTGTTGCAGAGCCTTGGATGTATTACTTGAAATTATTCAGTCAGAGAAAATCATATTTTGGATAAACTACAAACATTTTAATATGGTCTTTCATTAGAGATTCCCCTATCTATCCTGTGGCCTTAATTTTGCATTATTTCTAACTGCACAACATATGCCCCAGCCATGCTGAATTACTTCCAAATCTTCAAACACACCCTCCTTCCCTTCCCATCTTGTTTTTGTACCTGTTATTCATTTGCAGTGGAACACATTCTCCCCTGACTCACTCTTGTGAATTCTTTAAGGCTTCACCTCCCTTCACCCTAAAGTTAAGTAGGACTTAATGAATTATATTGTAATAATTCTAGCTTTGTTGGCTCTGTTCGACAATGTGATCAGTGGGGTCTCTGTTTTCATCCTGGTATACCTAGCGCCTGGCACAGGGCTTGGAATTTGAAGGCATTTCATGATTGTTATTTGGTTGAATAAATGACAGGATGAATGAATGAATGAATGAGTTAAATTAGTATGTATGTTGCACTGTTCTTTTTACATGTTATTCTGATTTTTTTTCAGGCACATCTCATAGTTTCTTAAATATAAACTTCTGTTTTAGTAATATTTAGTATAAATATGGGTTCACATTGGTTTTGTGTCTTTGTGGTTGGCTAACATTATTCACCAGCGATCTTAGGCTATTCTTGTTCCCATAAGCTTCACCTTCTCCATTTTCATGCATTTGCTTGCTTCCATCTACAGGCCTAGACTGGTTCCTGCTGCAGCAGGAAGTGTTTAAGAAGCTTTCTGCCAGGGTCTGAAGATTGCCTCGGAAGCAAGTGCTCCCTTTTCCTGGTTCCTGGCATCTGTTCTTCTGCTCATCTTATTTGTAGATCACCTGGTTCCTGCTGACCTGCCTGAGCTTTTGGCCCTCTGTCTTGCCTTCCAGCTTTGGAAGCCACCAGTTCTTCTCTGCATTCTTATCTCTCACTCACCTGCTGTGTGCTCTGACCTTTCATGCAATCATTAAATTTTCCTTTTCTTCCTGGTTTCTGACTGACGGCAACATCATGACCTTTGACTCATTTGTGTGTTTGAATTCTGGATTAAGCAATATGGTTGCTGTTTTGTCATCTCATCTGGATCCCTCCCTCTGAATTTGCCTTAGTTTTCCTGGTCTTATATGTATGCATTATCAAATTAATCTACAGGTGTGGCTCTGACATATTTCTTTTGAACCAGGGTGCTATGCATCTCTCCTTATATTATCACTTTGGAAACTGAGGTCCAGAGGTTTCTAAACTCCATTGTTATTTATAGATATATAAGCAAAAGATACTGTATAAATCTAGAAGCAGTGTTTAATCTATCACATACTAAACAGATTCTAAATCTTTGCAAATGTTGGATGAGTAAAATAAATAGTTACCAAATTGAGTAATAAGGATACACTGATCCAACTACAAAATAGATAAAGTGTTCTTTAATTGCCTTACCTTTTAAATCTTGGTTGTGCATCAAAATTATCTTAGAACCTAAAGTGCAATAGGGACAATGCAGGTGCTTGGGCTCTTCCACAGAACTTCTGAACTCCTGAATCATAATCTTGAAGTAGGCTCTTGACATGTTTATTTTCAACAGTTTTAAAATTCATTTCAATGGACATCATAGGTTGAGTTGAACACTTCTGTACTAATGATTACTTTAAATATTCTACCTTTGATGTGACAATGAATATCTCAAATGCTAGAGGATTAATCAAAGCCAATATTTATTCATTACTACCTGTATGCATGATGCTAAGTCCTTGCATCTAGTTCCTCATTTAATTAACCTTCAAGTCAACACCAGCTACATATTATCCACATAGAGGTTGATTAAATTTAAAGTTGAAAGAGGTTAAGGTACTAAATAAAGGTTACACAGATAATTGCAGGATAGAAATATAAATCAAAGTCTTTTTTTTTGCTTAAACATAATGCTTTATAACACAGCAATAGCTCAATAATCATGTCACTATAAGCAGTTTATTGTACCTCTATCATTTTACTAGTAGAGTTAGTATGTGCAAAACAAATCTGATTATCTTATTACCCTGCTTGAGGATTCCTACAGTTTCTTTATTGCCAACAAGATAGTTAATTTTCCTTGTCATGGTATAAAATATCCCTTATAACTCATATTGCAACTTCCTCTTCAGATCTGTCTCCTTCAATGTTTCCTCCACAGTCATGCAGAATTTCTCACCATTATTGTAAAAGCACCAAACTGAAACAATGAAATGCCATTGTGTTGGGATTTGAGGGTCTTTTGAGGAACACATTAGTTCTTTCTTTATCTGAAAGCAATAGAAAAAAGTCATAAAAGTGAAGGATCAGCCAGTCGCAGTGGTGCATGCCTGTAATCCCAGGCACTTAGGAGGCCAGCCTGGGAAACTTATTGAGACCCTGTCTCAAAAAAAAAAAAAAAAAGCAAAAAGATAAAGAAAAATATTTTCCTGACCTTGAATGCCTCCACCATCAGCTCAGGTGTTGCTTTTTGGAAATCTTTCTAATTTCTATTAATCAGCATATCATTCCCTCTCTACCCAAAGTCTTCAGTTCATACCTCCTTTTGTTATATTTATTCTACACATAAATACAAATATGTGTTTATATCTCTTTAACTTCTAATGATTGAGATTTTCTGAGTCAGAAAAACTGTCTCATCTGTTCCTGTTATCCACAAAGTTAAGCATGGCGCCTGAAATGTTGTGTTAGTCCTCACAAGCCTTAAAATTGCTCCTCCAAGGTTTGACAGCTGTTAGCTGCCTTGTCCCTATAGAGACAGCCCATAGTTATTCAGATGCTATGTTTCAAATTAGCACAGGGCCTGGTACACAGTGCTTGGAACATCACACAATAAAGTTTGAGTGAATGAATTAGTTTTAGCAGATGATATCATATGATGATGTTTACAAATACCATTTGTTTCAGAGTGTTGGACTAAACTCACAGCAAAGGATATATATTTTAAGAATGGAGAAAACATGGTAAAATCAATGAAATGTTACCACAGAACAAATAGAAACACTGAAATACCAAATGAAAACTACTAAATTGTGAGTCTAAGATTCCACAGATTATACAGGACCAATCTTGTAATATATTGATATGCTTTTGACACTGTTCTTATTATAAAATGCTATATAAGTGATATAAATGCTCATATATATATATATTTGACATTAATGTCTAAGAGATTGATACATTTGCAAAGTTCACATTTTATTAAATGGAAGCACCAAATTTTTTCTTGGAAATACTTATACCATCTTATATTCACAGTCAAACTTTATAGTTTTTCTCATAATTCTTTCAGATTGATATTTTGTTTGAAAAGTTGAAATTTTTTAGTTTCAAGAAATAAATTTAAACTAGTATGTAGTCTCTTTCATGTGATATTACATGAAATAATCAAATTAAAAGCTAGTACTGGAATGGAACTCATAGTTTTGAAATATTCCTGTGCCTGTGACACAATTTCATTTTTCTTGTCCTTGAAATAGCTGAGGAAATATAGCAGGTTGTAATGCCCTACTTTATATCTACCCCCTTTGAAATGGATAGATCACATTTATTTTCTCTTCTCCCATGAATGTCATTATGTTTTCCTTTATATAACAATAAATGTTTTAACAGACATTAGAATTCTTATTTTCTTGAAGTTAAAAAATGGAAGAGAACACCAATAATATTCATAGTGATATACAATGCTTGATAACTGGGAGACACCACATGAATGTTGTTAGTGCAGCGATAGTAGATTAGTCTTACATTTTTAGTTCTCTAAGCTCTTAGAGATTAATAACCATGTCCTTTTAACCTTGAGTTGTTTGCATCCCCTCATAGTCTTCTGTGTGGATGAGATTTACTAAATTTTGGAGAATGAGTACAGTAATGAATAAAATTGAATGGGACACATGTGAAAAACAGCTTTTAACTTATAAAATGTCATAATAATAAAGGATTATTAGTTTTTCTTTTATGTATAGCTTAACAACTGTTTTTGAAGTATGACTACATTCAGAAAAGTACAAAGTATAGTAAATGAATAAACTCATGGAATTAACACCAAAATGAAAAACAACTTTAAAAAACAACATCCCAGAAGTCCCTTTTATGCTGCCTTCTAGACACTGTTTTCCCCAAATTTGACCACTATCTTGACTTTTAATACCATAGACTTGTTTTGCCTGTTTTGAATTTCATATGATAGAATCATACAGAAAGTACTCTTTTGTATCTCATTTCTTTTACTAGGTGTTAAGTATGTGAGATCCACACATGCTTTAGGAAGCAGCTAATGTTCATTCTCATAGCTGTAGAATATCCCTTTGTATAAATATACTACAAATTATCTTTCCCGTCTACCAAGCAGGGATGTTTGAGTTGTTTCTGGTTTGGGGCCATGATGTATCATCAATGTATATTTTTCAGCACATCTTTTGTAGAACACAGTGCATTTTCCTGTTGAATGTGTACCTAGGAGTGGGATTGCCCATAGAGCATAGATATACATAAAAGTTTTACTCAACACTACCAAATAGTCTTCCAAAGCATTTATACCTTGTTACCTTTAGATCAGTTGCATCTGAGGATTCAGCTGCTCTTCATTCTAGACAACACTTGGTTTCATTTTAGCCATTCTAGTGGGTATATGGTAATCTTTCATGATATTTTAATTTTCATTCCTATGATGACTATCAAAAAAAAAAAGCTAAGACCTTTCTTTACTTGCTATCTGAATATTTGCTTTTATGGACTACCTATTTCACATTTTTCACTTTCTATTTTGGGGGAGAGTGGGTAGTCTTTTTATTTGTAGGAGTCCATCATGTATTCTGGATACAGGTTGTCAGATATAGGTTTTGCAAATATTGTTTGTGTGAACAGTTTTAACCTTCGGTCCATTCAGGGTGAAACCACTCATGCATCAAGCTGGTGTACATTAGAATCTTGAGTAGATTTTCTAAGACACCAGTGTTAAAGCATCATTCCTAACTAATTAAATTGGAATCTCTAAGGCCAGAGACTGGCTCTATGTGATATTAGTCATTATATCCCCAGTGCCTAGTAAGTAGCTTTCTTAATATTGAAGTAGGTATTTAAAAATTTAATCTTTATTTCAAGTTTCACTCTTTCATCAAACTAGTTGCAATAAAATTTGAATGCACCTTCACATAATGAAACAGTTAATAAAAGCTGATATATAGGAAAAGTAAAAATGCATCTTGACATGTTTATTTTATATTCATAATTTTAATAAAGTTTCTTATGGAATGCCTAATCCACTCAAACAATGAAAAAGTCAATTTTTAAATTTTATTCTTCAAGAAATGATGTCATGATTTAAAACATTTTAAAGGTAGATCAAGAAACTTTATATTTTGGTGAAAGAGATTTATGGTACAAAATTTGTTCAAGTATGTTGCTCTGGAGGGACAAATGGTAAGAAATTAAAAGGTTGCAAGTTGGTGACACAAAATTAAGAAGAAATGGGGGAAAGAACTTTCCAACAGTTTGAAAACTCTTTTTAGAAGGCTATAAGGCATCCATTATTAAGGGTAATCAAAGTGAGTCTGAATTTCCATCCGGATGGAGATTGCCATTGTGGGTCAGATTATATGACTCTAAAAGTGTTTCACACCTTTAAATTCTACACTATATTTTCTTCTTTTTTAAATTAAGCACTTATTATTTTTTTAATTAGTGCATTATAACCATATGTAATAGTGAAATTCATTGTCACATATTCATGCATGCACATGATATAACAATATAATTTGATCATTTTGGCTCCCAATGTCTTTTGTAATGTAAAGCACATGACATAATGCAGATAAAACTCTCCCCCTGGAAGTGAACTCCTCCTAACCTTACTCCTCTTGATATTCTTGTCCTGGATGGCAGGGCAAAATTCCACCTTCGAGTCTGGAAGTCACCCTTTGGGGGAGTATTGGCATAAAGACTTTCCTGTTGTTGGTTTAGCAGAAAAGCTCTTACTTGTCTTTCCTTTTTCTTTTTGATTTTTTTTTTTTTTTGCTCTATATTTTTAGGAACCCCTACTTCCCTCAGCTAAATTCAAGATGTTCTGTGAAATGGAAACGCAGCTGAGTGGAAAGAAAGATTGACAGTGAGAGTACCCGTCTGCCATTTAGGAAGGATAATTTGTTCAACATTAAATATAAAAAGCTCTGCCTGATGGTTGCATTATAACCAGTGGGGTGTCTTGTCAACCAGAGTGCTGGGAAACAGGTTTATACAACTCACTCCTTTTAGTGATTATTGCCTTTAAGTGAGAGCATCTAAGCATGTTAAATGAGACTTAGTTCATAATTGTCAGATATTAGTATAATGGGTTCAGCTAAAAGGATTTTAGACACTTGGGCCAATTTGGCCCTCTGTTCTAGAAAGAGCACAAGGCATAGAATGAACTTGCTCCTCGAAATTGGAGAGAGGACAATGCAAATGTCTGGATGGCTAACTTTGGTTATTAACATTCCTGACACATTCGCCAACTCAGGCCTCACTGACTTGAGTGTGTGGGACATGGGGCAGGCCTATCACGGACAAAAATAACAGGGACTTACTGACTCCAGGGCATGTGAATCCAGAGCTTAATTGTCGGACTGAAAGTCCACAAGAAAGAATATTTTCACTTGATTTCTTAGTGCACATTTCCAGTTATTGTATGAGATTTGTTATGCAGTTTTTAGTCTTATGCTAGAAAGTAAGCTGCACCTCAATTCTCACATGGCTTGAACCATTCAGCCTGTTGCGTTAGTACCTGAGGTTGTAGAAATTTCAATATGAAACATGATATTTCCAATTTATTTATTTTTCTTGAAGTCTCTAGTATATAGTGTGTATAACAACAGGGAAATTAACAACAATTCTGGTCAAATTAGGGTAACAATATTTACCCCTTGGTAGGATTGGTATTTTATGCAGTTAAGGATCATTTAAAAAACGCTTTTAATTTTGCCTCAAGAATATTTTTGAGGAGTCCAGAGAATGTTAATCAGCTTTCTACACCTGTAACAAAGTACCTGAGATAATCAATTTAAAAAATAACAAGGTTTATTTTGGCTCACAGTTTTGTAAGTTTCAGTTCATGGTCAATTTGCCCTGTTGTGTTTGGGCCTGTGGCAGAGCAGCACATCATGGCAGGGGATCATAATGGAGGAAGCTGCTCATTTCCTTGTAGCTTGAGGGAAGCAGGGAGTAGGGAAGGGGCAAACTCCCACAATCCCCTTTGAGGGCGTGCACCCAATCACCTAAGACCTTCCACTAGACATAGTAAAGGTTTATACCACCTCTTGACAGTGCCAAGATTCAAATGGTAGCACAGGAGAAAACTATTATTTTGATAAACAGGCATCTAAGCCAAGTGATCTTGAAGAATGTGAGATATTCAGGGATATTTGGATGGCTACGGAAGCTTCACTGGTGAATATTAATTTTAAAGTTCCTCTCAGTTGAAATTGTGTCTGGAATCCCTGAGTCTATGATACATTTATTTTTTATGACTCAGTTTTTATTTTATTTTAAAGTTCTCTAAAAGAGCAAATGAAACTTTTAAAATTGATAATTGCTGTTTTCCTTGTTCTTTAAAAAGTGTGTACTTTATAGAAATTTTCACAGTTTTCTACTTAATACCATATGTTTGTACACCTATGATCCATTTTTATTCTTCTCACGATCAACCACATTTTTCTCATATTTAAAAAAGTCACTGATTTGTTTACATAGGTAAAATATGAATACTTTCTTTTGGAAATATTTCAAAAGACTATATTCAGGATCTAGGAGTTAATAAGTCTCCCTTTATTCCTTCCTCTAATTCCATTCTAGCTGAACCCATTCTAAAAGTAGCCATTATTAATCGTGTACACTTTTCTAAACTTTTAAATGCATTTACATTCATATATATGAATATATACAAATATATAGTTTAGCAAATATTAAAGAAATCGAAGGGTATTGTTTCTTGTTTTTTGTGTGTATATAGATTTTTGGGTTTTTTTTTTTGCTTTTTGCTTTTTAATTAAAAATATAA